TGATATTGGAATGTTACTACTAATGAATGGAAAGTTAACAATCGGAATGTCGAAGTCATATTCATGATTATAAGGGGAAGAGGAGAAGGGCTGTTTTTTATCAACATAATTGACATACGAATATCCATATAGATATATTGACTTTGAACTATATAAATAATTATTATATTATTGTCTGATTGTAATACTGTAAGTCAATATTATCACCAAGACATACGGAAGATTAGATGGCATGGATGTTTACTTTACGTCTACAGGAAGACCATCATATAAACACTAGCCATTTGTTGTAATTGTTTCTACGATTCGTCTGAAATAAACGACTGGCATTAACTAACTTTATTTACGTTATTCAAGTCGATGATTTTTAAGTACATTATTTACACGTTGTCCTGGCGATAAATTACTCTAAGACAGTGTCTATTTGTTCATTCATTAACTTTAATAGGTCTTAATGTCTGGCGAGATGGAGAACTCTTTCATTCTTCGACAACCACGAAATGCCGAGGATTTCACAATATTATTTGTAGATTATAACTGTTTAGAATGGAATTATTCGTCTGGGGATTCTGAACTTCCGGTTATAAAATAATTACTGCCGCATATATTCTACAAATATCGTTTCATATCCAATAATTCCATGAACTTACATTAATAAGTTCTTACAATGTTGAATAGTAGAATATTTCAGCAGCTTTCATTAGTTGATTCGCGGACATGTCTATGTCCAGTTAGTGTTATAATACTAATACAAACAAAGCAAACAATAAGTATAATATATTATCCATCACAAATCTACATAATGATCCAATATAAACAATAAATATAATATTGTATTGTATTGACGTCACTATATTGTATTACCGTCACTATATTATAATAACATCACTATATTTAATTGTAATAACGTCACTATATTTTATTGTAATAACATCACTATATTTAATTGTAATAACGTCCCTATATTTTATTGTAATAACGTCACTATATTTTATTGTAATAACTAACATCACTATATTTTATTGTAATAACGTCACTATATTTATACGAGTTGGTCGTAATGCAGCCGTCCGGGCAAAATTTCCCTCTTAAAACACTGTATGTGTCGCATGGGGGGGGGTGGCTGAATGGTTAGCACGTGCGCGCTGTATCATACAGCCTGTCATTGAGTCAATTGGCGTGGTTTCGAATCCCCGGTAGTACGTGACAAGGAGTAGAGTCGCCTGTCCAACCTTGTGGGTTATTTCCTGGTCCTCCGGTTTCCTCCCACTGCTAAAGACCCCTACGCACAAGCAAATTATTGAAATAAAATTAAACCATATGTTAGTCCCGAAATGACCTAGTTTGTGTTGAGTGGACGTTAAACCCCATTTCTCTTTCTCTCTTGTATGGCGCATGCCCGTCTCCTTCTAGACACATCTCCAGGCACCTTGATCAAAAGAAATTCGTTTTAAGTTCAAATGTTTTAGTCGTTCAGGTTGTGTAGTAGTTTCAAGGCAGTGTGCTGAACATGTTTTATTCGAAATAGGTTGGTCCTTTAGTTTTATGTCGAATATGTGATGAAATTAAAACTTTTTTTTTCTGAAATATTCCTGTATCGACACAAACTTTACATAAACTGCAGCCGCTGGCACGATTATCTAGTCAGAATGACAGGAAGGTAGAATTGAACTGAATGGGGGAGGGGTGTGTAATTGGCATTGTTATGGAAACTCCGTAATCGCTCACCCCAGCCATTAGCAGGAAACCCCAGCATGGTCATTTATTGCTTCTCGCCATCGCAACCGGGTAACCATGCGCAGGCCTGAGCGGACGTCTAAGCTACTGGGACAGCCGCGGTGGCTCAATGAATAAAGCGTCTCGAATTCGCATTCGGTGTTGGTCGAGAATGTTACGCGGGATTTCTGGTGTAGTTCCCTCTTTGTCAGTGGTGTGGGACGGGGGTTCTTGTGTCAGTGGTGTGGGACGGGGGTTCTTGTGTCAGTGGTGTAGGACGGAGGTTCTTGTGTCTGTGGTGTAGGGCGGAGGTTCTTGTGTCAGTGGTGTAGGACGGAGGTTCTTGTGTCAGTGGTGTAGGACGGAGGTTCTTGTGTCAGTGGTGTAGGACGGAGGTTCTTGTGTCAGTGGTGTAGGACGGAGGTTCTTGTGTTAGTTGTGTGGGACGGTGGTTCTTGTGTCAGTGGTGTAGGACGGAGGTTCTTGTGTTAGTTGTGTGGGACGGAGGTTCTTGTGTCAGTGGTGTAGGACGGGGGTTCTTGTGTTAGTTGTGTGGGACGGAGGTTCTTGTGTCAGTGGTGTAGGACGGAGGTTCTTGTGTCAGTGGTGTAGGACGGAGGTTCTTGTGTCAGGGGTGTAGGACCGAGGTTCTGACACGGAACAGTGTCTAGCCGGTATGCTGGGACACGAGAAAACGAGTTCCTGTGTACACATTCGTGTGCTCGTAACAAAACGTGCCAGTGGGAATATGAAATATTTTCCTCCCTCATAGGAAACTGCACGGTGTATGCCGTCTTCGTTTTCCACTTGACACAAACTAGGTCATTTCGGGACTAACACATGGTTCAATTTGTAAGCTAGTGGTGGCCATATGAATCATTATCTTGTAACGTATATTTTAGATATATATGTAAATTCTGATATTGACTGTAACGTATATTTGATTCACATTGTCGACTGTCTGATACCTAGGGTTTATTATTCACATTTATTTTTTCTAATTTAGTCATTAATCAAGATAGTTGTCGCTTATATACAAAAAATATAAACCATGGGATGATATGTTGGGTTGGATAATAAATTACATTTCTATCATACAGTGTACTATTAGGGAAATTTTGCCCGGGCAGCGGCACTATGGCCTACTCTTATATCGAATTCCCACTGCGAAGGGATCTTTCACGTGTATGATTATGTATACACGGGTACTCGGTTTTCCGTCCCATCGAACGAGTAGACAACTGCACCACTGACTAGAGGAAACCACGTCGGAAAATCCCAAGCCAGCGTCTTACTCACTTAGCCACCGTGGCTCCCAGATCGGCGGGAGACGGAGAGAGAGAGAGTATATCTTTGAATCAAGCGGCGTGGTTTCGATTCCCCGCCAGCACGTTCCAATGGGTAGGGTCGCTTTCCCAACCTCGTGGTTTTTTTCCGGGTCCTCCGATTTCCTCCCTATGCTAAAGACCTTCACGCCCTTCATAACGTCACAGCATAGTTGTGTGTTTACAGTGGTTGGCATTTACACGACTGGTGTGTTTATGCATTTATGTTAGACGCTGTAATGATTACGTCGAACTCGGGATGATTGAAACAATGTCAATACTAGATAATAAATGAAACGGCAATACCTTTCATTTCTATAAACACTGTTAATCACGTGGTCTTGTGAATTAACATATTATACATTAGTATGTATCAACCTATATAGACCAGAGGGAGAAAGGGGGTATTATCCGAAAGGTGGGCAAAAAGCTGGAGTTGACTTTTCTGGCTAAATTCATAAGCCAGCCCATTTAACTTCTGGTGATCTTTTGACCTCGATAACTCCTGAACGCTCCTTCACCTGACTGATCACCCACTATTTTCGGATTCCTTAGGAAAAATGCTTCTAGAAAAGTCAACTCCCGCTTTTTGCCCACCTTGAAAATAACATTAGTTTTGTCCCTAATCTCAGTGCATCCTTATTTCTTGCTTATTTGACATCAGTGACCCTTTGATCTTTTCAATTACGTCATAATTTGATTAATTGGTTTCACAAATTATCCTTCGTCACTTATTCAATGATTCAGCTGCTTTTCAACAAGAAATCTGCGTCAGACAGCATCAGCAGTGGCTAAATTCATAAGCCACCCTCCTTTAACCTCTGGTGAACTTTGGACCTCGATAACTCCTGAACGCTCCCTCACCTGACTGATCACCCACCATTTTTGGATTCCTGGGGAAAAATGCTTCTAGAAAAGTCAACTCCCGCTTTTTGCCCCCTTTCGGATAATACCCCCCTTCTCCTTTAACCTCTGGTGACCTTTTGTCCTCGATAACTCCTGAACGCTCCCTCACCTGACTGATCACCCACCATTTTTGGATTCCTGGGGAAAAATGCTTCTAGAAAAGTCAACTCCCGCTTTTTGCCCACCTTTCGGATAATACCCCCCCCCCCCCTCTCCCTCCGGTTTACTATATTATGCGGTTGGGTGGTGGGGGGATGCTTAGTAGGTGCGCGCTGTATCATAAGGTCTGACATTGAGTCAACTGGTATGGTTTCGATTCCCCTGTTGTACATGACAAGGAGTGGGGTCGCCTGCCCAACCTCGTGGGTTTTCTCCGGGTGCTCCGGTTTCCTCCAACTGTTTAAGACCCTTACATGGACGCGAATTATTGAAATAAAATTGAACAATGTGTTAGTCCCGCAAGGACCTAGTTTATGTCGAATGGACGTTAAACCCCATGTCTCTCTCTCCCTATATATATTATGTATTATAAATGCTATGTTATGTATTGTGTCTAATATGTATTTTATATGGTGTGTGCTATGAGGGAAATTTGCCCGGGCAGCGGCGCTACGGCCTACTCTTATATCGAATTCCAACTGCCAAGGGATCTTTTAGGTGCAGGCCAATGTGTACACGGGACCTCGGTTTTTCGTCCCATCCGAACGACTAGGCAGCTGTCCTTGTCAGGCCCTCCGTTCTGCATCACTGACAAGGGGAAACCACGGAAATCGAGATGAACTTTCTCGGCCAATGCAGGGATCGAACACTCGACCTCCAGGCTAACGAGCCAGCGCCTTACCCACTTAGCCACGTGATCCCCTGGCATCAGAACGTCTCTTTTATCTAAGTAACTTGTATTTCATATATACATGTCCTGTGTTATTGTTAAAGGGTGTACAGCCCTATTCTTTGGAACCTTAAAATCGGTCTAAAAGCATATAGCAATGTCATATGAATGTACATAAAGCAATTTATATTCAATTTTTAAAAAATAAAATATCGTAATTTCTAATCAATTATGTTCGGTGAAACGCGTGAACAGTACAAATTGAACGCCCGCTTAGTATATTCTATCATATGGTTTTCTTTGTTATTTACAAATGGCGCCCAAAACCATAGAATACACGACTCGTGTACTCATTTTGAAAATGTCCATTAAATATTAGAATTCCATATTTCACGGTTATATAATAACATCAATTTTGATTGAAATGGACCAATATTGAATTCTAATTCGTGTTTTTAATTTCCAATTATGAATATTATTGAGTAAGAAGTTTAGCTCCTTTAACATGTGTTTTTAAGATGATTATAATTTTATAGAAATCGTCGATCCTTTTTCTTCATTCAAGTCCGATTTATCAAACGCCTTATTATCATGTATAACTGTGTTCTTCTGTAAATATTCTTCCACTTTCTTGATTGTGTCCTGTATTTCGGTCTCCACGGGTTCAGCAGCCCATGGTTCTAAATCTGTCCGCGCAAAAAGGCCAAAAACAGTCGCTCCCAGCAGACACACTCCACCACATACATAAAACACATTCCGCCATTCTTCTTGAGTTTTCTGAAATGACAATAATGGCCGTCTGGAAGGAATGCTAAGAATGAAACATAAATTAATTAACGCCCCACGTTTCAGCACCATCATGGCTAACAAAGCAAACACCCGTTAATGGGGGGGAGGGGGTGTCATAGTTATCATGGTAACGTCGTTCCAAACTCACTATGACGTATGAAACTACTTTATCATTAGAACGAGGGTTCAGGCATACCATCTCTAATGTGCCACTTTTTATTTATAAACTTGCCTAGAATCGGCGTCGTGTATGCTATTCTCAGGTTGGATTATTTATGCATCGACGGTATTGCGCGTTATTCATTGTGTGTTTTAATGTTGGCCCGCTCACCAGTGGGTCACGGGTTCGAGCCCGGTATTGACTGAGAAAGTTCCCCAAGAGTTTCCAGCGTGTTTTTCACACGTCAAGATGAAGGGCCTTGTAAAGGATCAGTATGTGTCGGAACACTAGGAAGTTAACCCACATTTCATTTATTTTGATTTCGTATTGCGCATGTCCGTCTTCATTAGCCCAGTCGGTGTGGGACGTTAAACCCCCATTTCATTTGTATTGGGGATTGTTGAAGAGACAGGGGAAAATGGGGTTTAACGTCTACTCGACACAAACTAGGTCATTTCGGGACTAACATATGTTTTTTTAATTTTAGTTCAATACTTCGCTTGCGCGTATGGGTCTTTAGCAGTGGGAGGAAACCGGAGGACCGGGAGACAACCCACGAGGTTGGACAGGCGACCCTACTCCTTGTCACGTACAACCGGGGAAGGAAATGAAATCAAAAGGGGTTTAACGTCCCACTGTTCAGCACCGACTGGGTCAATGAAGACAGTTATGTCGAAGGAGAAAACCGCTCTCCACCTATTGGGAATAGCGCTGTAAGGTAGAGAGGAAGTTTTGACCAGAACATACGAGCCCCATCCGTGTACAAATCAAGGGTTGGGATTCAAAGAGGAATGGCACCTCCCGGACAAAATTCCTCTCACTAGCGGTGCACACGTACCCATAGTAACAGAAACCCCATTTGTTCACTTTCCTCTATATAATAAATGTAAGTAATGGTCTGAGATATATAATACATACGTTTGGTGTCAAGGCCCCGACCACTAATGGCGCCACCATACCAGGTACTGAAGCTATGGCATTGTTGATACCAAATAACACACCAGCATACCTATAAAAAAAACCAATGTTTACTAGTAGCCGGAGGTTCTATTTATATTTACAATTCATATCTTCAACTCAATACAATCAGATTCAAATACAGATCTCTATGTCAGTTGATTAACCAATCAACGTTCATCTTTCTAATCAAAAACTCGCCGTAACAGACCGTTTCATTGGCTAATCTTTCACATCATCCAGAACGCGGGTTATATAACCATTATTCCAGATCACAGTGTAGTAAAGACAAGTAAAATGAAATCTAGAACTATAAAAAAGCCGAAACGAAATAGGATCTGTCATTTAATCAGATTGCAACTCAATATAAAATATTCTTATTTACTGAAGTCTGAAATGTTAGTCATGTTACATTAATGTTGATTATAGTGTTGTCATGTTAAACATGTCTAATTAATAGTTTATATAACATTTCAGGCCCAAAGAATGACTTACAATAGGCAAATTTAGCTCTTGAATAATGTATATATAATTTAATGACCTATCGATGACATCGAGAGATGATTATGGTCTGGATAAGTTAATTTATGTCTAGTAAATAATTTAGATAACATTTCAGGCCTACCTGCAATAGGCAGATTTAGCTATTGCATAGTGTATGTTTAATTTAATGACCTAGCGATGACATCCAAAATTAATTATGATCTGGATAAGTTAATTAATGTCTAATTGATAATTTAGATAATATTTCGGTCCTAAATAAATCCTTGCAATAGGTAGATTTAGCTCTTGAATAATGCCTGTTTAAGTATATAAGATAGTTGATTGTTACCACACCTCGGAGCGAAATCAACCTGATTCACCATGTAACCAGCAAAACACATCCCTTCAAACGTCACAGCAAGAGTCAACAGTACTACTCCAATCATCTTCTGTTCACAGGAAACAAACCCTGTAGCTACTAGACAAGCTCCAGCACCCACAAATGCTAAAATAATTCAGAGTATAACATTGTAGTATCGGGATTGTGGATTCGGTTTGACAATTTCGAAGCTAGGGTCTAAGGGAAGATGTCCTGTAGATTCTAATGCCCGTTTTTCATGTTCGCGTTTTCGTTGTGTTTCCGCGCGCAATGTCGTGGTGTTTCCGCGCACTTTTTCGCCGGCTAAAACGTCGCTCGAATGCAAACGTAATGGAACAGATTCCATTTATCCAGTGACAACGAATGTGGAGCAAAACTTTGATGTTAGTCAGGGCGACACTACTCCTTGTCATCTATAGATCCTGGATCCACCCCACGACTTGCATAGATAACTGATATTATAACCTACAGTTAAACCTGTCAATGTCGGATATCACAAACTATACACCCGCTCAAAAATTAAGCACCACCAGATTTTTTTTGATATGATTGAAATGACCCCCATTGTGTATCAATAACTGCTGCAAAACTTTCCTTGAATATGTCATCTCTGTGTTTGTATGACAGCAAACATGTATTACACATGATAAATGACTACATAAATTGACAAAGAAATGTTTAATGAACAATATTTCAATACATGAATATTTCAGCAAATTTGATGGCCAATAAAGTATCCCTGTCCACAGAAACCGGTCAACTGTTTTTCATCCGAAAGGTCTTGAAATAACTTGTCTCTCTTCCTTCACCCAAATTGCAGTTAATATCGGGTGTAACCTCCTCTGACACCGATGCAATTTTCAACACGCCTCCTCATGCTGGAAATGAGTCGTCTGATTTGATTTTGTGGAATATTATTCCATTCCTCTCGAAGAGCCTGTGTAAGTTCAGCAAGATTTTGTACACCAGGGACCCGTGCTCACACCCTGCGACCCAAAATGTCCCATAAATGTTCAATCGGATTGAGGTCAGGGCTTCTTGCCGGCCAAGGGAGAGTGTCAATGGCGTTACGTCAAAGATATTCCCTCACCACATTGGCTCAGTGGGGCCGGAAATTATCGTCCATAAAGATTGGTCGACTCGCCAACGGGTGGTTGTCGAAATGGGGTACAATTTCCCTTTGGAGGATTTGATTTTGATATCTGTCGCCATTGAGGTTGCCTTGAACTTGAATCAGCTCCAGTTTGCAGTCATATGAACAGCATCCCCAGACCATCACAGAACCACCGCCGAATGGAATCTCTGGCTGGATGTTATGCTGTTGGTAAGCAGTGCCTCGTGGACGCCAAATCCGGGCTCTCCCGTCAGTTATATGTAACAGAAACCGACTTTCGTCCGACCAATGGACACGTCTCCAAGACCGGATGTTCCAACCACTCCTTGCGTTGCACCACTGTAATCGTTCTTGGATACGTCTCTGAGTGAGGAGAGGACGTCTGATAAGTCTACGTGCTGCCAGTCCACCTGCTTTTAGTCGTCGTTTCACCGTACTAAGGGACAATCGGGTGTTGATTAGCCACCTGTCTCTGAGACTCCCGACTTGTCGATCTCGGGTCCTGCCTGGCATGTCTTACAAGGAGTCGGTCATCACGAGTTGTTGTTTTTCGTGGTCTTCCACTTCGTTGACGATCTTTGACATCCCCCGTAGCTCTGTGCTTCCTTACAAGACGACTGATGACGCTGTGGTTTATGTTACGATGCCGTCCAATTTCCCTACATGACATGCCAGCATTTCGCATTCCGATGATTTGCAACCTCTCATTGTTATTAATACGCCGTCGAGGCATAGGTCCAATGCGTTTTTCAATCGCTTTACGACTCTGAAACATCTTAGCAATGACAGGACTAAACTTCGAATTTTACAGTTGTAGGGTCACCTTGCTACAGTGACTTTCACCGGGCACGTGCATGTCATGCAAAGTTGTTTTGGCATGTTACCTCTCTATAACGTAACCTAGTTTTAAACATCATTGACCGTTTTCTTCTATGTTGAATTTTCGCTTCAAAATTTATTATTGAAGTTGGTGGTGCTTAATTTTTGAGCGGGTGTATATAATACCAGTGACATGAGGGGTATTTTGCCCAGGCAGCGGGGAGTTACGGCCTACTCTTATATCGGAGTACAACTGCCGAAGGTTCAATTACGTACATGTAAATGTGAACAGGAGACCTCGGTTTGTCGTCAGAACAGAACGACAATACAATGTCCATTGCGAGACCTTCTGTTCTGCATTACAGACAAGGGAGAGAACCATGCCGGAGATCACGTTTGATAAAGGCTGAAGTATCATCATTTAAAATAACATCCAAATAAACGTATAACAGGTGTCTGTAAAGTACTAAATGGCATACCCGTTATCTGGAAGAATTTTCGTATAGCTTTAATTGAGAAAGATTTTGTTCTGAGAAAATCTGCTGCTTGACCAGACAATACGGTAGATGCAGTCATAGCAATGTAAGGTACTGCTGACAAGATACCATTCTTAAAATAAATAAAAAACATGCCATATAGATACAACAACATTAGACATAGTGTACATATAAAAACATGCCATATAGATACAACAACATTAGACATAGCGTACATAGTGATATTTTAAAAACATATTGGGGGATTGTGGGTCGGGTGGTCTAACGCATGCGATTTAGATCATACTGTCTTTCATTGAGTCACGTGGTGTGGTTTCAGATCATAAGGTCTGTCATTGCCTGAATTGGCGTTGTTTAGGCAAGGAGCAGAATCGTCTGTCTAGGCCCGTGGGATTTCCCCAGGCCTTCCGGTTTCCTTCCACAGCTAACGACTCCTATGCGCAAGCGAATTATTGTTGTTGTACCATATGTTAGTCCCGAAATGACCTAGTTTGTGTCTGTGATATTGGGAGGGGAGGGGAGGGGAGGGGAGGGGAGGGGAGGGGAGGGGAGGGGGGGTTATCACGGTGGCTTAGCGGGTACGACACTGGCTCGCTAGGCTGGAGGTCGGGTGTTCGATCCCTGCATTGGCCGAGAAAGCTCATTCAGATTTTCCAGCGTGGTTCCCCCTTGTCAGTGATGCAGGACGGATGTCTCGTGTACACATTGAAGTGCACGTAAAAGATTCCATGACAGTTTATTATTCCGGTCTGACAATCGAGCATCCCATATGAAATCAGGGGAGTTAATTGCATTAACTCTATAGACATGATAAAATTATTAGCAGGTCTTAGCCTTGAAGCATTTTATTTTTAAAACTTGACTCACCGATTTAATATCGAACTTGAGAACTTCTTTCATAAACGTTGGTAAACCAGTGAGTAGGGTATAGTTAATCCAATTATTACAGAAATGTGCCACGAGACAGGCCTGCATAGCTCGAGACTTAGCTATAGCTAACCACGGTGTCGTTAATACCTGATGATTCACAAAAAACAATGGACGATATTTTTGATCAGGAACTGCGCCCTGTTTCTCGAAATCTTAACTAAAGATAAAATCTAATTTTTAGGAGATACTTCAATCTAATCTTATCCAATCAAATTACTAAAATTTTGGATTTTATCTTAGTTAAAATTTGGTGAAACAGGTCCCAGGTCCCCAAGTACTATTCATCTTCTTTTTCTTAGGGGGCGACGCTCTTAGTAACAAGCCTATGGCTCGGTAAAAACCAAATGCGATCCATATGAAACTAGACTGTAGACATGCTCGCTCCGTGGATAATTGCGAAGGGATTGACCGACTGCGATTGCTAAAATGACGAGACATTTTTCCAAGGTGGCGGCAACGACTAGGCCATGTTCCTTGCATGGTTAATAAGCCGGCATCTGACCCTCGAAGCCGTGGCTCCCCAGAACTATGTGTGATAAATAATAAATTGTCTGTTCGTAAATTATCAGGGGTGGTACTGAGAGGGCTGGCAAGGAAAGTGTACCTAATCGTTCGGAAGGGACAAAAACTGAGGTCTATTCGAGTACACAGTGGTGTGCATGTAACACAGTTGGACATCGAATTACAGTTGGACAATAGGAGTACATAGCGAAGTCCGGGTATCCCTAGCACCCCATCACATCGGAAAGATAACCATAGAAATAGCACTTTATGTGAGTTGTAGCGAGTGTATCATAAGGTCTGTCATTGAGTCAACTGACGTAGTTCCTCCCACTGCTAAAGACCCCTACGCGCAAGCGAATTATTGAAATAAAAATTGAACCATATGTTAGTCCAGAAATGACCTTGGTGTGTTGAGTGGACGTTAAACCCCATCTTCTCTCCCTCTCTCTCTCTCTCTTATGTGAGTCGTAAAATGAAACGCATTGTGTTGAACAGCCTTTTCGTTCATTCGTTTTGGAGTTTAATGTCCACTTTCACCAAGGGTGATATTGTAGACAAGAACAGCCTTTAAAACCCCTAGTCCGTCTCTATTAGTCAAGTCGATGTAGAAAGATAGGATGTTAAACCCCAGTTCATTCCAATCAAAGGGATTCTATAAAATAATGAAGGAAGTGACGTACTCTGGTTTGTTTATCACCAATTCCTGACTCTATATAAATTCTCTCAGCTTCAGATATTCGTGGATGTTCAGTTGGTGTATCCGCCACAAATATAAACCATAATACCAGCCATATTACAGTTACAATACCTATATACAAATATACACCATATTACAGTTACAATACACAAATATAAACCATAATACCAGCCATATTACAGTTACAATACCTATATATAAATATACACCATATTACAGTTACAATACATATATACAAATATACACCATATCATAGTTACAATACACAAATATACACCGTGTTACAGTTACAATACCTATACACAAATATACACCCAGTTACAGTTACATTACCCGTACACAAATATACACCCAGCTACAATATACACAAATATACACCGTATTACAATACCTATATACAAATATACACAATGCTACAGTTACAATATACAAATATACCCAATATCACAGTTACAATATACACAAATATACACCGTGGTTACAATACCTATATACAAATATACACCATACGGTACTAACATGTGCGCTTTCTACTCTCATAGTATCAACCAAAACGATCATTACGACCAGAAAGCAAATTGTTATTGGATGTACCTACCTATAATTTAAAATCATTTGGATCAAGAACTTTTCAATACAGTGCATCAATTATGAAGAATACACTTTCCGAAGATATCGGACAATGTTATTTTGTACCGGTTTTTAAATCCAAAGTGAAAACTTTGTTATTTATTCACTATTATTAACAATCCGACTTGAAAACATAGTCTCGCGCATGGGGCCTAGCGTATTCAATAGTTACGCGATACAAATATCAATATTATTATTATTAAAATTTATTTTTATCCGGTTATCTCAAGAAATCCGAGAATTGTAAATTATATTGTTACTTACTAGTTAGATAGAAGATTGATCCCCAGCCATTATCAAAACCATAATCACACAGAAGGCCTGATGCAGCAAACGTTATAATATTACCAACAAACGATCCTGTAATTATATCCATATACTGCAAACTCTTCGGGAGTTATGATTTGAGAAAGGGAATGAAATGGGGTTTAATGTCCTACTGTTCTGCTCCTAAACTGGGCTAATGAAGACGGGTATATGCCATACAGTGGGCAATGAGAGAAATTTTGCCCGGACAGCGGCAATACAGCCTGCTCTTATATCGAATTCCAACTGTCAAGGGCTTTTTTACGTGCACGGCAATCAGCTTCATGTTTTTTCTGTTCTCTCTTCTCCCATCCACACCTTTGCATTTGGGCCATATCAACGGCGAACCGACCTACGTTGAAACGGCGCGGCCTTCACGTAATGAAAGAAAGACAAATTTCAAGAGAAAATAGCAAAGACTTTTTTAAAACGAAAGCGAAACCAGATACCAGGCTAATGCAAGGCCAGTGGGTGACTAGTCTCCCAGTTGGAGTGATCGAGCACACTAAAGCTCATCTCGAGCGCTATGGTGTCACTGACGTGTGGGCCTTCTTCCCTCATAGTGAACGGCCGACACAACCAAGTGAGGTTCGTCGCAAGCGTAATTCAGTGATTTAAATTAAATAATGTAAAACATTAAATTTAAAAAGGTCGTCAAACATTTTTTGGGCCCTTTTTTTGGGGGGGGGGGGGCTCTAGGCAGCTGCCTACACTGCCTATGGGGTAATCCGCCTCTGGATTGCTATGAGGAGAGTTTACCATGTTAACCTGCGACCCTTGTTTACCTCTTCTTGGATAATACCAATGTCGACACTTGTGTTAAGATACTTGCAATTAAAGGACAAATCATGAAATGAAATGAAATAAAATGATGTTTAACGTCCTACTGTTCTGCTCCTAAACTGGGCTAATGAAGACGGGCATACGCCATACAGTGTGCTATGAGGGACATTTTGCCCGGGCAGCGGCGCTACGGCCTACTCTTATATCAAATTCCAACATCCAAGGGATCTTTTACGTGTACGCCAATGTGTACATTGGACCTCGGTTTTCCATCCCATCCGATGGACAGCTGTTTTTGTCAGGCACTCCATCCTGCATCACTGAAAAGGGGAAACCAGTTAGTGACAATTGATAAAACCATAGAAATGCGTTGTTCCTGGTTACAGGTAAATTAAAGTAAAGTCTAGTCAGGTAGTTTAAAGCCTAGTCAGCACAACTATGGTTGATTAAATAGTTGACTCACCAGCATAACAGAATGACGTCAATCGACTTCTTTCTAAAGGTGGCGCCCATTTACCCCACATACTGTGAAAGGCGGGAAACATGAGACCCTGGATGTATAAATATAAACATTTCAAATTGTGTATCCCTTGGAAACGACAATATTGTGACCACCAAACACCCAGAAATAAAATTAATTCACACATGGTTCACTCCCGTCCACGAAATAACTCTAGTTTAGGTAACATATTTTAATCTTTTTGAAAGGGATCTTGTTGTCCAAACTAGCTTGGGTTTTATTTTTTCCTTCTTCGTTTGTGGCGACGATCTTCGAAAAAGGCCGAAGGCTCGACTAATTTAAGTACGATTTAAGTACGATCGAAATGAAACAACTTCCGATGCTTGGACGAATCGAATTCCAGCCAAGGTTCTTATACGTGCCTACGGGACCTTGATTTTTCGTCCCATCCGAACGACTATATGTTTTCTTTTACCAGGCTCTCAGTCTTGCACCACTGACAAGTAGTAGGCAGGCTAGAAAATCCCGATGAACTTCCTCGGTCAACGCAGGGACTCTGTGTTCTACTTACCGAAGCTAAACCCAGCAATACTCTTATGGCTGTAACAACACGAATATCATATCGAGAAGCAACAGGTGTCAAAGAATTCAATAAAAAGGATATAACCAGACCAAAGCCTATAACTCGTTTCCCGCCAAATCTACCAGCTAGCCAACCACCAGGCATCTGTGTTACTAAGTAACCATAGAAATAAGCAGACAATAATGTCGCTTGTTCGCTTTTAGTCCAATCAAATTCTTCGGTCTGAAATATTAAATGAAATGAGACTTAAAGTCCTGATTTTCTGCATCAACCGAGATAATGAAGACGACATACGTCACGCTCATACTAAACTTGTGCTGCCTGTCTACAGTTAGCTCCGCTTGAGAACAGACACTAAACTAGTTGACCGACATTTTGATTCTTAAATTGACGATTTTAGTCGAAAACACTAAGTAAACTTCGAGAATTTATAGAAGTATTTATTCTGCTTCCATTTAATGGAATTGAACAGGTTTATTTAGTCTCTGTGTATGTATCAGATGTGAAACATAGTAGAAGCGCAGTAGAAAACAATATACTATTTTTTGGATATGGCGTCCATTCAGGACAGAGATTAAATTCTCGAAGTATGACGTCACGCTGTGAGGGTCATTTTGGCTGGACAGCGGCGTTCCACCTACTTATCATGAAATTCCAACTGTCAAGGGTCCTTTTATGTTTACGGTACCCCAGTGTGTATATCTGACCTCTGTTTTGCGTCCCCTGAACATCTCTCCCGTCAAAAAGCAAAACTAGTAACTCACTTTTTTCTTATTTTGAGAAAACAAAGGAAAACGTAATGAATGAATATTAAACCCCAGCTCATCCATTGATTTGACTATTGAGTTTTGCTGTGGTATTCTAGGCAAATGAGGGAAGTTGCTAGGTTGTGTCATGGGTGTAACTGCTTATAAAATCAAAAGATTGGAATATCTAGTACAACAACAGGAAGCACATACCCTAGTAACTACGAATTTGGTCTTAACTCAATTTTGATATAAAAAAAAGTGAGTTACTAGGTTTTGCCTTTTGACGGGAGATCTATGGAGCGTTGAATATTCCATGTGGGATATATTTTACTTACATTCGAGCTGCTGCTATTACTTGTTTGTTCATCACACGCTGGGTTGGTATTGTTCGCTGCATTGGTGGAATTCTCTGGATAGCTTTTCACCATACACACTATACCAACACTTAAATTGACTCGTAGTGCATACATACAGACAAATCCAAAGAAACCAATGTATGCAAGTATCCATCGTTGTGACAAACAGCAAGGTACTGAAAATATAAATAGTAAATTGATGGAGGTTCACATTGCTTTCTAATAATATAATAATAATAATAATCGTTTTCTATAGCGCTAAACATTCAGCCAGCCTGACTGCTCTGTGGCGCTTTACAATGTAGATATGATTATAAAAAAAAATACATGTATATTATAAAAAATAACAAAAAAATACAAAGGAATAGTCCAGTTACAATATACAAATGGAAAGTGAAGCATTTAAATTTTTGTTCAAAAGTTTGGGTAAAAAACTGGGTTTTTAGACGTCGTTTAAATATAGCCAAGTTTGGACTATTTTGGACTTCCAGGAGCAATTTGTTCCACTCTTTTGGTGCTGTGTACGCAAAAGCTCTCTCACCACACTTTGACTTCTGTACTGGGCATACAAGTTGGTTTTTATAAGAAGAACATAAGGAACGAGAATTACATATTGTTAAATCAAATCGGATACTGGGCATACAAGTTGGTTTTATAAGATGAACGTAAGGAACGAGAAGGTACATATTGTTTAATCAAATCGGATACTAGGCATACAAGTTGGTTTTTATAAGATGAACGTAAGGAACGAGAAGGTACATATTGTTTAATCAAATCGGATAAATAGGATGGTGCCAAGGGGTCGTTTAAACAGCTGAAAGTGATTGTGTTAATTCATCCAACTATCATTTAGCTGGTCTCCAGATAGCAAGGTACTGGAAATATAAACACTATATTGATGGAGGTTTACATTGATTTCTACTGACATCATCCAACTATCCGTGGTCTCTATTGATGCATTTATTGGTGGTTTGGACAGGCAGCAAGGTACTGAAAATATAAGACTAGATTGATGGAGATTCATATTGCTTTCTGCTGACTTCATTCAACTATTACATAGCTGCTTTATTGTAGCGTCGACGAGGTCTCCACTCTAATTGATACATTCTTTGGTGGTTTGGGAAAGTTAAAGTACAATGTAGCCTGACATAAATGCGCTTATTACAATCAATGATATACATAAACCATTGAAAGAGTTTCTTATTGTGACTTTTATTCTAATATCGATTATTATAGTTAATTCTCTGTGATTCTTTTGGGGGCCAGATTTATTGGACATTGAGAGAGTTACCGGCAGAGGTGAGAACAAATCGCAGGACCTTGAGTCCCAGTCGAGCCGCAAGTCGCCGCAACCTAAGTCCGAGTCGAGCCTCAAGTCGCCCTTACCTTAATCCGAGTCGAGCCCCAAGCCGCCCCAACCTAAATCGAGCCCCAAGTCGCCCCAACCTAAATCCGAGTCGAGCTCCAAGTCGCCGCAACGTAAGTCCGAGTCGAGCCCGAAGTCGCCGCAACCCAAGTCCGTGTTAAGTCCGAAGTCGCCATAACCTAAGTCCGAGTCGAGCTCCAAGTCGCCACAACCTAAGTCCGAGTAGAGCTCCAAGTCGCTCAACCCCGAGTCCAAGTCGAGCTCCAAGTCGCCGCAACTCGATTCCGAGTCGAGTCCCAAGTCGCTGACTTTAGTATCGAGTCAAGTCGAATCCCAAGTCTTTAAAAAGTTCAAGTCCCGTTCAAGTAATACGATAGGACCCCCATTAGCTGCCATTCAATCTATTTCTGCGTCTCGCGTCACGATTAATATTTCATGTCGATTCGAAAGTCAGATCTTTGATGTGACTTATTCTTACATTCGTATTTCTGGTAACATATAGCAGACCATGACTCATGCTGGCATTACACAATGGTTTCTCTGGGTTATATTCCTGACTGTTTTTAAATTTGAGTGAAGTGTGTGTCACTACAGGCTCGGGACTGTACAGCGCAGTGGACGCTTACGGCTAGCTCCGGGATCAATTCCCTTTTTTGAATTGTTTAAAAAGGTCTATCAATAATCGTTCATGGACAACAAAATGGCGCCGGGATTATTACACAGCAGCGAACAGCATAGATCGATCAACTTTCAATTGCACCCAACACGAGCAGCGGTATTATTAGATATCAACATCGCATAGATTAATGACATTTCAATTCAACACATCTTTGTAAATACTCAATTGAAGCAATTTCGAGCTGATATTCCTACTAGAGGCGCGTGTTTCATTTTAATGTATTATTAATGTTGAAAGTGATATTCATATTGAAATTAGTTCTATAGCGAGATTTTAATGATAAAAGCGCACAATCTTACCGTTCTTGACGTCATCTGTATCGACAATTTGATTGGCTTTTTTCTCTAATTTCTGCTCCATCTTTGTTCTGTAAAACAGCTGTTTTCACTGTGGTCTCATCGTGGTTCTATAAAACAGCTGTTGTCACTGACGTCTCGTAGTGGTTCTAAATTACTACTATCACTGTCTTGATACGACCTTGTTTGTATTAGAATTGGGTCTACGCACTGTTGAACTCGTTACGTAAAAAAACAAACATGCTAATCTTTGAATGTCAGTTACATTTTTTAGTAACTGGTCGTGAAGGTTTATTTTACTAAAACTTTCTAATCTTAATTTACACATCTACAATCAATCGAACTCTGATTTTAAATTAGGTCACCATATTAGATAACATTATATGTTCAAGGTTGTCCGTAAAGAGGGACTGGGTGGGCGAGTGGTGTAACGCGTGCACTTTACACAATAATGTCTGTCATTGAGTCAAGTGGCGTGGGTTCTATCCCAAACTTGTACGCACAAAGTAGTATAGTCACTTGTTCAACCTCGTGCGTTTTTCCTGGGTCCTACGGTTTACTTCCAATGCTAAAGATCCCTACGCGCAAGCGATTTATCGAAATAATATTGAACCATATGGTAGTCCCGAAATGACCTAGTTTGTGTCGAGTGGACATTAAACACCTCTCTTTCTCCGAGTGGACATTTAATACCCCCTCTCTCCCTCTCCCTCTCTCTCTCTCTCTGCTCTCTCTGTTCTCTCTCTCTCTCTCTCTCTCTCTCTCTTGTTTACATCTCGTGACCTTGAGGAATTCTGCAGGTGACCTTAATATTTAGATCCGAGAGGTCATTAACCGTGAACTGCATTGGCCCAGACTCGCAAACCAGGAGAATTCCCTGGTTTCATTCCAATGTTAACAGAGACAGTTCCTCGGTATTTCCGGTATTTTTCGGCGTGATTTCCCTTTGCCAGTATAGTATTCAAAATCACCAATAATAATTGTCTTACATAAAGCTCCAACTAAATGAGTGACAGTTTGACCGTAACAATAAAACAAGGTTGATTTTATCACATCGGTCAAAAGTCGAATTCTGTTATCACACATGGTATTCAATGTGACTAATACCCGCCAGTAAATCATAATATAATCATTTTAAGGTCCCGACGGATCAGTTTAGCTTTATTGAAATCAACTCTTTTATTGTGAAAGTGGTGGAATATCAGTTCCGTTCAGGATTTATTAATGTATGCGGCTTCGCTATGTAATAACACCGCTGCTCGTTTGGTGTCCGTGAAAATTTATCCATAGGCCCGTTTTAAACCCGATGCATTATGTAGCGTTAGTATTTCGATTATGTTTTCTTAATTCAATATTTAATAATCCATGTGAGTATATTTTAGCGAAAAATGCCGATGGTGCATAGCTGATTTAAATTAACAATATACATTTAAAATGGCGAGATATATCTGTTTGTCCCAGATAGTTTTAATAGTAAAATGTATGGCTTCGTAAATTAACAGCATGAACTTTACAGTGATAATTCTTATCGACGGATTAGATATTGAACTAACATTTGAAACTAAACTTGGTCCTAACAACAGTTTCTTCCGTTACGACGGGGGCCACGGTGGATCAGTGGGCTAGACGTTGTGTTACTAGCCTGGAGATCCCGTGTTCGGTCCCGATGTTGGCCAGAAATGTCATCAGGATTTTACAGCGTGGTTCCCCATTATCTGTGGTGCAGGACGGAAGGCCTGGCAAGGAACAACGTATAGTCGTTCCAATAGGACGAAAAATCGAGTTCCCATGTACACATTAGCGTGCACGTAAAACAAGCCTTGACAGAAGGAATCGAATTAAACGCAGGTAATATCTCCACACTGTATCGTGAGTGTATGCCCGTCTTCATAAGCACAGTCAGTACAGAGCAGTAGGAAATTCATTTCATTTTATAGTGTACTAAGGCACATTCGCGCCATACTTACGGAAATAGAGGCGGGTTATGTGTACATATATGTATGTATATATATATATATATATAATTTCCTTTTTATCTATTGTTTTTTTCTCCTTTGTTTTTCAAAATTTTGTAATTTATTGTAACCGGGAGAGGGGTTTATATAGGCTTTGCCTGTTCCCCAATCCCCTCAGTTTCTGAATAAATATTGTTTATAAAAAAAAAATAGAGGCGGTAAAACTTGACATCTCTCTTCTATCGCCAACCTATTCCACAAGAACGAACAACAGGTTCTTCTAGGTGAAAGTGGACTTAAGCCCGAAAACAACAACAACAAATCAACGTGTACGATGACCTTTAATTTGATTGTATATATAATCAAATGAAATCTGTAAATGGTGATGCCACTGTAAATCTACTAGACTGTTACCACGTTTGTTGTAAATGATGATGCCACTTTATCCAACTTGTTGTTAATGATGATGTCACTGTAAGTCTACTAAGTTTGCTGTAAATGATGATGCCACTTTAATTCTATTAGAATGTTATCATTCTGTTATCAAACTTATTGTAAATGATGATGCCACTTTAATTCTATTAGAATGTTATCATCCTGTTATCAAACTTTTTGTAAATGATGATTTCACATTACATCTGTAAGACTGTTATCAAACAAGTTGTAAATGATGATCCCACTTTAAGTCTACCAGACTGTTATCAAGTGTGTTCTAAATGATGATGTCACTGTAAGTCTACTAAGCCGGTTATCAAGTTTGTTATAAATGACGATGCCACTTCACGTCCATAAAACTGTTATCAAAGTTGTTGCAAATGATAATGCCACTTTAAGTCTGTTAGACTGTTATCAACCTGACGATGCCTTTTTAAGTCTGTTAGACTGTTTTCAACCTGACGAAGCCACTTTAAGTCTGTTAGACTGTTATCAACCTAACGAAGCCACTTTAAGTTTGTTAGACTGTTACCAACCTAACGATGCCACTTTAAGTCTGTTAGACTGTTTGTTTTATTATAAATTTATCATTTTTGTTATCTGATGACGTGGAATTTACACTATAAAGTAAACTAACAGATTATACCTATTATGCATATTAGATAACCATAACCCTAACCCAACCCTAGTATGTATATTAGATAACCCTAACTCTAACCCTAACCCAACCCTAGTATGTATATTAGATAACACAGGAGATTTTTAATGAATATAAAAAAAAACAAACAAAATGTATGACCGGTCAAACTAGATATGACATACTCTGTTTATAGAAATTCATCTACATTCCAATGGCGTCATCTTTAGCTTATCGCTTCCTCAAGCCGTTCAGTTCATTTATGGTTGTTTTCACGTGTTAGAGACGTGGTGGTCTGTTTTCTGATCATCTAGAGAATCGCGGTGGGTCAGTGAGTAGGACACTGGCTTGCTAATCTGTACATTCAGTGTTGGATTCCGGTATTGTTCATCCGGATTTGATTTCCAGGCGTGGTTCAAGCTTGTCAGTGGTGCAGAACGGACGTCCCGTGTTATCTCTACACATTGGCGTGCACCTAAAAGAACTCTTGACAGTTGGAATTCGAAATAAAAGTAGGCCGTCGGACACTGTATGGAGTATGACTGTCTTCATTATCCCAGTCGGGGCAGAACAGTAGGATGTTAAACCCCATGTTATTTAATGATCAAAGAATATCATGCTTGGAGACACCCGTGGTATGGGCATATGTGGCTATGGACGCCTTCTCAACCCTCAGTGGTTTCCTTCTACAGCAAAGGCCGCTGCACATGCGCTGAATGTGCAATAATAACACAACTGGGTCCGACTGTCAGTCAGATCTACAAACCTGGCCTAGGCAACATTATAGCATCGATGGCACGGCTCGCCATTTTTAGTACCGGTATCATCTCCTCTGATCGTGTAGGGCCTCGGTTTTCAGTCCCATCCTAACGACGATACGTTGTTGTTCCCCTTGCCAGTACCCATATAGTAAATTACCAAACGATAAGATAAACTCTGTATTGATTATCTCCCCTTGTTTTATCCTGCCCAGACTCTTCAGGGTAATATTTACCATTATGATTAAAGTCAGAGATAAGTTTTTATCAGAGCGTACGAGCGTGGAATTGAAACCATGCCACTTGACTCAATGGCAGACCTTATGATCCAATCCAACTCCCCATATGTAATTGAGATAATTGTAATTGTTGTTGTGGGATCGGTCCCAATCTTCCATGTCATGATGGGTTTAGGTCTGTTTAACTTGATTCTGCAGATTCCCCATCACTCTTCCAGAACCTGTGCACAAACGAATAATAGATAACATTTCAGGCCCATTTCAGATTTAGCTCTTGCATAATGTATGTTTAAGATTGCATTGCGATAATGTTGTTCCTTCAGAAGACCAAGTTGATATTCAGTAGACGACCCCCCCCCCCCCCAATATATTTGTCCAGTTTTTAAATGCAGACATGTTGAAGTCCTCAGAGAACCATTAAATTACTTCCGTTTTATTAAAACTACCATGTTATTGAAAGACTGTGGAAACCTCACATAATTACCTTGATCTGGTGAAATTGGAACTAAACCCTCGGGATAATTACACAAGAATCAGCATTCCCTTAACCGTTCCACTCAACTGTCAACTGTCTAGGATCTGACTGAAGACCTTCAGAAATTACAGTTCGAAGCAGAAACCACGAGAAACGTGGAATTAGTTCACGTCTAAATCAGAAAATGTGTGACGGTAAGTGGCCTAAAAGAATGGCAGCGTCATTTTTTAGAGGAAAAATAATCAGAAACTGGGTGAGATAGTGGCATGATTAAATAACAGTGCAAGACGGCATGTGGTCGGGTGTCTAAGGACAACGTATCGTCGTTAGTGTTCTATAAATATGCTGTGGATATTATTACACAGACTCATCACTGTAGGCTTATCATTATATTTATTCAGTAACACAATCTTACGACCTAACTTGGTCCAACATGCTTTCAGCTTCAAGATTTTGTACAAGACCACGTGCAATACTTTTAAAGGCAGAACTATAGTCTGTTTCAATATTAATAGTCATTATCATATAAGTGTCACTTCTTAACTCATTGATGCAACAGTTAGGATGGGACACAAAACCTTGACAGTTGCAATTCGATGCCGCTGTCCAGGCAAAATTTCCCTCATAGCACACTGTATGGCGTATGTCCGTCTT